TTGCTCTCCGTCGTGCAATTGCTGGGCAATTTTCGGTTCTTGATGAATTGCCAGTGTACGTGGTTTATCGTAATCGGGGCGCCTAGGATTTTCGCCAAATATTGATCTTAAGTCGCGTTTGGTGGAATAAATCACTCCACGCGATTGAGATGTTTTGTGTGGTGTTTTTCTGCCATGTCTTTACCTGTGAGCCAACAAAAGTCATCCCACCACATAAATCAGGCAATGCGATGAAATTTCCCGCCGTGTGGAATTTCATCTGGGAGACTCTCGTCACCAAGGGGGAGATAATATGCCCAAAACACTGCCACAATTCCTCTGCCAGAATCTTCAAACACTTCCAAACACTTCTTAAAGCCCTTAAAAATGCATTTTCCAATGTTTAATCTTCAGAAAATGCTTGAAAAACAATTCTGACCAAATTGTGAGGTTATGAATTGTGCCTAAAAATATGTTTTTAGCCTGGAAATGACTTAAAAATGGCGAATTTCACAATGTTTCCACTAAATTTTGATGTTAAATTTGCCACTTTAGAGCACAAATTGCAAAAATAACTAAACAAAGAGATTTCTCAGACAAATTTTTGAGGTTATGATTGACTTTTAAGCTGTTTTCTAACCTAATCTTGAAGTTTTTCGAACTTAAATGCTTAATTTTGTCAAGAAAAGTGAAGAATTCTCAGTTTAAACAAAAATTTGATAATTTTAAGAGATATTTTAACACATAACCTAAAAACAAAGCGATCCAAATTGATTTTTCAAGGCAAAATTATTTTTAAAAATGTCTTAATTTGTTGAAATTGAAGTTTTTGCAGTGCAAATATTCTTAGTACAGTAGAAAACGCGAAAAATAACCTAAAGAAACACTTTTCTAGTCTGAAATTCGATATTTTTTGAGGTTATGAAATCATTTCAATACTTTTAAGCTTTTTCTCAATTCAATATGACGTTTTTTCGATCCGAAATGCTGAAATCTACAGAGAAAAAGATAAATATTTGCAGTTTAAATAGAAATTTGATGATTTTTAAGGTTATTTTATCACATAACCTACAAAAAAACAATCAAAATTAAATTTTCTAAGCAAAGTAATTGATTTTTAATCCTTTTGAATCTGAAAATTAGTGAAAAAAGCCAAAATCAAAAAGTTTCTACAAGAAATTGTGGTTGAATTTGTCACTTTTCAAGCACAAATTGCGGAAAAAACATTATTTTTAAGGTTATGATTGAACTTCAAAGCATTTTCTCAACCAATATTGAGTTATTTTGAACACAAATCATGGGAAAAAGAGAAAAATTCCTCAGCGTTAGTATAATTTTGACAATTTTGAGGGTTTTTTAAGCGCTAGAAAGTGTTTTAAATCAATAACATAACCTCAAAAAAGCAAAATAATTGATTTTTAAGCAAAATTTAGTGGGAAAATGTGTGAATTTGGGTGAAACGGAAGCTTTTCAGTGCAAATATTCTAATATATTTTGCCACATTCACTTCTTAATACTTCCAACCGTAATATTTCCCCCTTACTTGTCACCTTTCTTGGATACAAAACTGATCTGAATGGCCTCCAGAAGCATCAATAGACGAGGGCAATTTGTTCGTGTCAGATGTGAGTTTTTCTTCTTCTTTCTTTTCTTTCTTGTTGTTCTTTTGGTGGCACAGAAGCCGCGCGCAGAGGATGACGATTGTCTATTTTGAGGAATCTCCTCGCACTCAATCATCGTTAGTTAATAATTCATGGTTCGCGGACAGAAAAAGGGTCGCGATGGACGAGTGAATGTGTGTGGCCGCCGAAGGGTGGACAGGTGAGTGTTCAAAGAAAATTCACCCCGTCTAGGCCTAGAAGGATGTTTCAAATGTGCAAGTCGCGAGCGAATCCAGATGATCTTTTTAACCCTATCAGGGACGCAACAGTCCAACAATGATTCTTGCTTTTCGGATGGATTCTTGGACACTCAGTTGAACACATCATTTGGAATAGAGTAAAATTAACTAGAAGATCATCAAGAAATGCTTAATCAGAGTCTAAATTGTCGGAAAAAAGTCTTCTAATTGACAGTTTTTGAGGTTATGTTTGATCTTAACACAATTTGCAGTGTTTCTTGACAGCAAAAGAGTCCAATTCAAGGTAAGATCACGTTTGTATTCGATTTTCATCCGATATTTCTGTGAGAATTCACTAAAAACTGCTTTTTTCTGTGTCTTTTCCCAACATAACCTCAAAATATAACCAAGTGATCTTTGAAAACTCAGTTTCGAAGCATTCTAGATCTGCTAATGAACTTAAAACTTCTGTTTCAGAGTCAAAATTGTCCAAAAAAGCTTTCTAAATTAACATTTTTCAAGTCAAAATGACCATTTTTGAGGTTATGTTGAATCTTAACACAATTTGCAGTGTTTCTTATATTTTTCGTGAAAACATAAGAAACATCTCTTAGTTGTGAGAAACATACGTAAAAAGTTAATATTATTGACTTTCTTCAGTTTATTCGTGGCTTTTTTGCAGTTATTTCAAGTGTTTACAGCTTAAACCACGCCCATTCGCAAGCTCCGCCCATTTATCTATGAATTGTCTCTTAATACTCGTGAAAATCTAATTCTTAATTCAATGAATTCTTGAAATAAACCTATTAAAAACGATTTAAGAGTAATTTTGAGGAATTTTTATCTTTTATCGTTCGACAATGAGTTGAAATTTGTGATTTTAGAGTAAGAAATACAATAAAAATCTCTTAAAATAAACTATTTAGAATCCAGAAACTGTATTTTAGGGATTATTGTGAGTCTTAGCCTAATTAACAGACTTTAACATTGATATTAGTTTAGACGCAAGACTAAATGAATGATTTTGGAGGTTTTTTTGTGGCAAAGTTTCTTCTTAAAATAATCATCATAACGTCAAATGATCTCAAGAATCCTTATTTTTCCTGAATTAAGCTTTTTACATGTGTAAAAAGTTAATATTGTTGACTTTCTTCAGTTTATTCGCGACCTTTTTGCTGTTCTTTCAAGTGTTTACAGCTTAAACCACGCCCATTCGGAAGCTCCGCCCATTTATCTATGAATTGTCTCTTAATACTTGTGAAAATGGATTCTTTTCTATTATTTGGTGACAATATCAGACTGAAAACATTTCTTTGCATAAATGAAATTCATTTGATGATCAATTTTTCCTAATTCTTCCTATTTTATTCCTCATTTCCTCAACAAAAAATGTGTCATAAATCACAGTATAATTTGTAAAGCAACACCGGGAGAAAACCCCACACATAATATATGTGTGGTGATGATGTCTCCTTTGACCAGCGACATCCCGAGAGAGAGACAGAGAGTAGACAGCTTAAAGATGCCGATTCGATGGGTTTCTTCACGGCTGATGATCACACAATTAATTGAATTAAATGACGCGCTGCTTGTGTCATAATAACAAATGTCCGTCGATTAATCATGCGCGGGGCAGAATTGAGACTCTTCGGCCAAACCATAAATCAGCGCGCGCCCAAGAGAGTCTCTCTTCGCAAGGGGGCGAAGAGCATCTGAGAGATGCGGATAATAGTGATTGATGTGTGGCATTTAGTGGGGTGGCGGGTGAATCTTTAAAAATCATGTCTCGCCCATGATAAATTGACTCTGTGATCGACATTCACACGATTATCTGCCACTCACGGGCAATTTTCGCGCACGCAGAACGCAACAAGGCGGAAGGAATAATGTGGTTTGGAAGTGGTGTACATTCTTGTGGAAGTTTTTTCCATGGTTTTCAGTGTCTTAGAGGACAAAAAAACACACGAAAATATTCATTTTTCACCTCTAAATGCTATTAAAATACAAAAATCTTGAATTTCTTTGCACAAAATGTGTCAAATTTGAGTGAAATAATCAAAATTTTTATTATTTTCCCATGAAAAATTGAAAAATAATAAAAAAAAATATTTTTCCAAAGTAAAATTGCAAAATTATCAAATTATGAATGAAAATAATCAAAAAATTATTTTCCTAAATAAATTAAAAAAAATTATACAATTTTGAATAAAGAAACTAAAAAAAGATTATTTTCCCAAATAAAATTGAAAAATAATCAAAATAATCAAATTCCGAAATAAATAATCAAAGAAATAATTATATTATCAAGTAAAATTGAAGAAAAAAAATCTAATTTTGAGTAAGAATAATAATAAAAAAAATTTTTGCAAGAAAAATTACAAAACAAATCAAAAGAAACAAATATTGAATTAAATTTAAAAAAATTGATGAGAAATTAATTTCCAAAATTTATTTTTTGATTATTTAATGCAACATTTGAATTTTATGTTCAGAATTTGATGAAAAATTGATTTCCAAAATTTATTTTTTGATTATTTAAGTCAAAATTTGAATTTTATATTCAGAATTTGATGAAAAATTAATTTCCAAAATTTATTTTTTGATTATTTAAGTCAAAATTTGAATTTTTTATTCTAATTTTGATGAAAATTAATTTCCAAAATTCATTTTTTTTATTTTTTCAATCAAAATTTGAATTTTTTATTCAGAATTTGATCAATTTTGATGAAAAATTAATTTCCAAAATTCATTTTTTTATTAATTAATTCAAAATTTGATTATTTTTCAACTTTTCTGTGGAAAATAATTATTTTTTTGCTTATTTTACTCAAATAATTGAATATTTTCTGATTTCTTTCCCTCAAAGAAATTGTTTGGACGTGGTGTACACATTTCGGACCATTTATCTCCCCCCCTTGGGATGCAAGAGAGTGAAAAAAAACAGACTTGGTGAGGTGAAGCAGTTTATTGAGGTGTCTTTGCGTGTCTTTGTGTGCTTTTCTTCTGGGCTTTTTCCCTGGAAATGCGTGTGAAGTGACCTGAAAAGCCTGTAAATTGGATTAGATCTCACTTCCCATGAACATATCCATTGTTTCCATCATGTCTCCGCGCTATTTTGCTTCTCTCGCTCCAAATAAGATGAATTTCTGTGGAGTTATGAAAGTGCCTTCGAGAGTCCAAATCAGTTGATGACGGTGTAGAGAATGGCGGCATAAGTTCCCGCTGCTTTGCAGATCTTCAAGACGTGTAAGAGAGAAAAGTGTGAATTAGAAATCTTACAAAACCCCATAAGAAAAGATTCCGCAGGAAATCTTTCACAATTTTTTGTTTTTCTCTTTTTTCCAGAATGACCACCAAAAGTATCGAAAAATTCTTCAGATGTTGAATATATGAATTTTGATAAGAAATTTAGGAGAATTTTCACAATAAATTAATATAAAGATAGAATTCCAATGGATTTTCCGACGGACTATCCTATGGAATTCGTAAGAAATGTCAGTAGAAAATTGTATTCTTGATTTTTATATCACAAACAGAAATCCAATGGATTTTCCGACGGACAGTCTTATGAAAATCGTGAGAAATGTCAGTAGAAAATTGTATTCTTGATTTTTATATCACAAACAGAATTCCAATGGATTTTCTGATGGACTGTCTTATGAAAATCGTGAGAAATGTCAGTCGTGAGAAAAATAATCAATTTTTATTATTTTATTCAAAATTTGATTATTTTTTAATTTTACTTTGAAAAATAATTTTTTTTAATTATTTTATTCAAAATTTGATTATTTTTCAATTTATTTAAGTGAAATAATAATTTTTTCTTTATTATTTCACTCAAATAATTGAATTATTTGATTTTGAAAACAATTAATAAATAAATTAATAAAAATCACGTGTAATTCTTGAATCTGTGGAATTCTTACTTGGACAAAGGTGTAGATGGAAATGTTGCCGAAGCCAAAGGTCTCAATTCTGACTGGTTTCTGTATGCTGATCAGCAGCATCAAGAAGTCCTTCTGATCCTTCAACTTCATCTCATACCAATTTGTCATGCAGAAGTTCTTGTACAGCAATTCTGAGCTGTTCTCAATGACCTGGCCGAAGAAGCAGAGGATGAAGATCTGTGACGTCATGGCGCCCACAATGAGGACGGCGATGAAGATGGAGGCGCTGAGGGATTGAAAGATGTAGAGAGTGCAGCAGAGGTAGATCATGATGGCGAAGAGTTTGTGAAAGTACAAATGCCAGAAGGACTTTGTGAGCTCCTTCACCTTCTGCAGGGCGATCTTGTGAGTCTCATGAGTGATTCTCAGGACACTCGAAGCCTTGTTGGGATCATTGAGTTGCGTGACAAACTCAGCAAGTGTGTAGAATTCAGATCTGAAGTAGAGAATTGTTATCATGACCACAGCATCGGCAATCATGATGTACTCCAGAATGGAGAAGTAGAGCACAGTGCCATAAACCACGTTGACAGGATAGTAGAAGATGCTCTCTTGCGGTAATCCTGGAATTAGTGATTACTGAGTAAAGTGTGCGCGCATTTACACGCAAAGCGCGCACTCCAATTTTCCCGCATTTGCACAAAAACTACCCAGTAAAAACAGCCACGATGGAAAACCGCGGGATTCCCACCGGTCGCGGTCACTTGTTCCCCAGTGGATTTTTGACGGAAACTTCCCTCGGGATTCCCGCAGATTTTTCCATACACAAATTTGTATGGAGCCTGTCCGCGGATATCCACTGGTTTTTCAATGGGGACTCCTGCAGGGAAGTCAATGGTTATTCCACACCTCTTAAGCCCGTCAAAGAAACCTCTTAGGCCTCTTTTCAATGGTTTTTTAGTGGATATTTGTGAGGAATCCCGCAGGAAAGTCAATTGAAAATCCTTCAGGGATAAAAAGAACCCAAAATGATGGATTTTCAGTAGATTTTTTTCAGGATTCCCGCAGGAAAGTCAATTGAAAATCCTTCAAGGATAAAAAGGACCCAAAACGATGGATTTTCAATGGACTTTCCTGCGGGATTCCTGCAGGAAAGTCCACTGAAGATCCTTCAAAAAATGAACCTGTAGTTTGAATATGGCGCGCTTCTACCAAAGACGTTACAGACCGAAAACTGCGGATTTTTATGGATTTTTCTGCAAGAATCCTGCTGGAAATTCCAATTCCGTTGGCGGAATTGCGGTAGAATTCTCCCACAAGATTCCAGCAATAATCTGTCATGGCAAATCTTTCGTCCCGACGCTTCCGGCGTCTCAGCCACTCAGAAAGAGGGATTTTGCCTGCAGGATTCCTGGTGGAATCTTGCGTGAGGCTTCAAGTGCTTTCTCGGCCTTCTAAATGAGAGATTCTGCCTTGAAGAATCGTGGTGGAATCTTGCAGGAAGCCTCCGGCATTTGTACGACCTTTAAAATGAAGGAATTTGAATTCGGGATTCCTGAAGGAAGCTTGCAAGATTCGTTCACTGTGAAAATGACTCCGTCATTTTCAGATGGCGGATTTTCCTGCAGGAATCCTGCAGAACTCTGGAGCAAAACATGATGGAAAAATCGGTGGAAAAACGTCGGATAGCGGATTGATTTTTACTGGGCGGAAAATTCGATTACACGCTGTGCCTATTAAAGCGCGCTTTGCGGGAAAATTATGTTGCTTACTTTCCGCGCTTATGTGCAAAAATTAGTTTGCATCTTTCAATTACTCAGATCAGACTACCTGGAATGGTGAAGAGCATCGGCGCCGAATACTTGGAGATGTAGAGATGGAAGGAATTCACGCTGATGCCGACAAAAGTGATGAAGATGAGGAAAATCCGGGTCCAAGTGATGCCAAGTTTCGTATTGATCAGCAAATACTTTCTCCTCACATCACCAATCACAGGCTCACAGGACTTGAGCCATGTTTCAAAGAATTCCAACATGGCAAAGATCTTCTTGCGATGAATCACCATAATTTCCGAATACACCATGAAACACTGATAAATGGCGAAGAAGTACACAATTGTGAGTGCCAAATCATAGCCATAATCTGTCATCTGCACAGCAAAATGCCAAACCACGCAGAACATCCCGAAGGCCAGATTTACAGGATAAACGGCCGTCCTGATCCTCTTAATGGTGTCAAATCCAAAGTCTGGAATGAATTCACAACGCCAGATTCGATAGTAGATGAAGATGATTCTCTTCAGACGCTCGTGTTGTTCGGTCAACATTGTTGGACGAAATTCACACAAGATTTGCTCGCTGATGACCTGTTGGATTGCCTTTTAAAGGACTTCTCATTCTCACTCCTCCTCAACGCAGTGGCATAGTTATTTCCAAGAGATACAAAGGGGGAGATATTACAGTCAGAAGTGGTGTACAGCTTGAAAGGAAGTGTTAAGAAGTGGAAAAAGCTTCCATTTCAACCAAATTCACGCATTTTCCCACTAAATTTTGCTTAAAAATCAATTTTATCACCTTTTTGAGGTTATGTTTAATTGAAAAACAGATTAAATGGTCAAATTTCTCTGTTTCTTGGCAGATTTGAGCATTTTTGTGCGAAAAAAAACGTCATTTTGATTGAGAAAAAGCCTAAAAGTCAAACATAACCTCAAAAATATCTCTCAAATTGCAGGAAAATGTCTCTTTTCTTAGGTTATTTTCATGGTTTTCACTTTACACGAATATTTGCACAATAAAAGCTTCCGTTTCAACAAATTGAGGATTTTTTTAAATTTTTTCTTTGACTAGAAAATTGAATTTTATCGCTTTTTTATAGGTTATGTGATAAAATATCCCTTAAAAATCATCTAATTTGTTTTTAAACTGTGAATTTCATCTTTTTTTTGTTTAAATTAAGCATTTGTGTTCGAAAAAGACTCCAAATTAGGTTAGAAAACAGCTTAAACGTCCATAACCTCAAAAATGTCTCAGAAAATTCTCTTTGTTTAGTTATTTTTGCAATTTGTGCTCTAAAATGGCACTAAAATTCACTTGAAAACCAATGGAAATACACAATAATTATAATTTTCAATCTACTAGATTGAGGTTATGTCTTTCCGGACATTCTTAGAGTCTTTCCTGAGCCAAAAAGTCAATCCTGAAACAGTATTTTTGAGGTTATGAAGCAATTTTAGGCGGAATTAACATCAGTTTTAAACTGAAAGTTTGTGATTTTTAACAAGATTTCATCATTATTGTGTCAGTAAATTGAAAATTTGTATTAATTCAAGGTCATTTAGATGGCAAAGTTTGTCTTAAATTCCATAACATAACCTAGAAATATTTGAAAAAACAATATTTTTCTTTAATTATTGGGTAAATTCCTTGTTGCGAGTGTCTTTTGAATGAACCACAATGAAATTTTTGACGCAATTCCACTTCTTAAGTACTTCTGTTGAATTGTACATCACTTCTGGACTGTATTATCTCCCCCTTGATACGGACGAAATACGAAATCAGTAAAGTTTCAACGAGAAAAATGGCAATTTTCACTTTCTATAGTTTTCTAGTCACTCGTTTAGTATTGTTTAATCTCTTGTCTTGAGATATTTCTTGTTCTTCACATAATGTTAACTACGCCACTGTTTCACTGCACCACATGTGAATATTGTGGGTGGATTAATTGCTCCTTCTTCTTACCTAATATTATCCACTGTTCAGCTTCTTGAGAGGCGTTTATTAGTGGGGAGTTGGCATCTAATTAACTGCGGGTTATTTTTCGACTTGTGGATCAGAAGGAGGTTCTTCTCAAATGCCGTCTTCTCAATTCCACACCAGAGAAAGGAGTGACAATTGAACTGATCTATTGATTGGATAGGATTTCTCTTGCCACCAATTAAACTGACATTAAGGTCAAAGCTGTTGGAATGAAAAATTCAGCAATTTCCTTTGGCAATTTGCAAGAAATTACACCCAAAAGTACAGGATGTGGCATTCCAAGTGTCGTTCAGGGGTGTGGTCTGGGTTTTGCGCCGAATAATGCACCGGAAAAATTGGTAATTATCACAAAATTGACGATTCGTGCTCTGCTGATCTGCAAAATGGTGTTTTCTTGGAATTATTTGCAAAACTCTCTCTCTTCATTCCCAATTGGTCCATTCAATTACAACCCCAGAAAAGTGCGAAGTGTGCAACCACATGTGTCACTTATGACATGCCAAAAGGAAGAGATGCGCCCGAAGACGAAGTGTTTATATTCAGCCAAGGGACAGATATTATGGCTGGAAGTGGTGTACAACTTCACAGAAGTGTTTAAGAATTGATAATGGTAAAATATATCGAATATTTGCACTGAAAAACCTTCAATTTCAACAAATTGAGGCATTTTCTACACAATTCTGTTGAGAAAAATCAATTTCGTGCTTTTTCTAGGTTATGTGATTAATTTAAGACAGATTCAGGTAATTAAAAAAGCCTCTGAATCATGAAATAAAGTTTAATCTGGGTTTCTTTGTCTTTTTCATGGCACAATTGAGCTTTTTCAGTTCAAAATAACTTCTTATTAGGTAAGAAAAGGCTCCAAAGGAACTCATAACCTCAAAAATTGTGTTTCAGTCTAGAAAATTATCTTTTTCGGCAAATTTATTATCATTTTCTTATAAAAACATTCTTTTTTTGGCAAATTTGAGCTTTTTCTGCTTAAGGTAACTTCAAATTAGGTAAGAAAACAACTTAAAAGTCAATCATAACCTCAAAAATTGTGTTTCAGTCTAGAAAAATGTCTTTTTCCTTGGTTATTTCGGCAATTTGTGATTGAAAGTGAGAAATTTAACGTTGAAGAAGTGCAAGAAATGCCTTCAAAGACGTTGAGAAGTGTGTTGAAAGTGATGTACAAGATGTCAGGCATATTATCTCCCCCTTGTATTCCATCAACTTGACCACTTTGGCGCCAATGGTGCCACGATATCGCACAGAAGTCAGTGCAGAATCCATGCAATGATGGATTCGTGACTTGATGGTGAATTTGTGTTCCGCGTGTTGGTAATTTCGTCTTCTGCGAATGTGGCCAATTATTGGCGGATGCTCTTGTGGTCACACCAATTCCACACACACACACACACAAAGGATTGAGTGAAATGAGGCGTGCAGATTTCCCATGAAATTTCCCTCAAAACGGGAGCCACGATCACGATGGCGTTCTTTCTCTAATGACCGCCAACAAAGTTGCAAGATTTTCACGGTGCGAGCAAAGCCGAAAGAGATTTCTTTCATTGGTAAAAAAAAGGCCAACTAATTACCCTCTCAAACCACATTACGGCCGAGTCAAGGGGGAGATAATACAGTCCAGAAGTGGTGAACAGATCAGCAGCAGTTCTTAAGAAGTGGAAGTGTTGAAAAATCTGCAATATTTCTTTCCAAATCATCTGAATTCTTTGAATTTCCTTCGATTTTCACGCAGAAACAAACGAAATAATCATTTTTCTAGGTTATGTAGACGAATTAAGGACAGATTTAGTTAATAATTCGAATTCTAGCACATCAATTCTGCTAGTTTTTGACAGAATTTAGCATTTTCAAGCATTAAACAATGCTTTTTTATCCTTTAATGTCAAGAAACACGCCAAATTGTGTTAAAATTCAACATAACCTCAAAAAAACAGTCATTTCAACTTGAAAAGTGTTCATTTAAGAAACATTTCTGCATGATTTTGACTCTGAATCAGCACTAATCCAATGATTTAGTTATCTATAAACCTTCTTAAAGGGAATTTTTGAAGATTTCTGGGTGTTATTTTGAGGTTATGATCAAAAAAGATGTCTAAAAGAGAGTGTTTTAAAATTGAATTCTTGCAAATGAACAGAATGAAGCATTTGCAAGCAATTAACAGTGATTTTTCCGATCTTTTGATGCCAAGAAACACTGCAAATTGTGTTAAGACTCAACATAACCTCAAAAATAGTCATTAAGACATGAAAAATGACAATATAGACAACTTTCGAGACAATTTTGACTGAGAATCAGCAATTTTAAGATCATTTTGAGCTTTCGAACAAACTTTTTGAAGATATTTTAGTGATATTTTTGAGGTTATGATCAGAAAAGATAACAAAAACAGCGTTTTTAAGTCGATTTCTTACATTTATTGCAGAAATATCAAATGGTAACGTAAGAGAGAATTTCTTTGATGCCAAGAAACACTGCAAATTGTACTAAGATCAAACATAACCTCAAAAATTTGTCATTTAGAAGGTTTTTTGGAAAGATTTTGTCTCTAAATCAGCAATTCTTAGTTCATTTGCAGACTTTAACAGTTGATTTTGTGATCTAGAAAGCTTCAAAATGGAGTTTCTGAAGATATTTTGAGGTTATGTTGGAAAAAATACCCAAAATAGTGATTGAAAGTCCGATTCTTGCAGAAATATCGAATGGAAACTTAAGAGATTCGATATTATTTGGTAAATTTCATGTTCTTGAAGTGTGATTTGAGGCTTATTATCTCCCCCTTGGCGCAGAGTAATTATCCTTGGTGGTCTGAAGGACCAACCCAGCATAATTTCCACTCATTAGCGTGGCATTTAAGACGCCCGGCGGCGGGCGCGCGTCACCCAAAAACGGGAGGAGGTGTCTTGTGGGGTGGAATTCCTAAGTGCATTCTTGACCCTTTCGACGTCTTTGCTCTGCAATTAACTCTGCATATTATTTTCACGCGATGCCACAACAGTCCCAGGTGTTCGCCACACTTTCTCTCTGTCGCCACCAAAAAGTCCCCCCCCAAGAAAGAGAGCGCATTTTCCCCCCATTCGGAATGATTAACATAAATTATCCAATGCTGAAAGAAAAGAGCTGAGAATGTCATCGGACTTGAGGACTAATTGAATTAACTTCTCAAACTTCTCATGGAAGTCGGTGTTAAAGCCCTCCAGATCACAATTCACCTAATTGACCATGATTAATTGTATCTGACAGATCATCATTGAGGTGTATTCTTAAGCATACACTCAGTGAAAAAATACAGAAGCGAAAAGAGTTTTAAGACATCAAATATTTCTTTCCACAAAAAAATCCCTTTTTCTGTGAAAAATTCGATATTTCCTTCAATTTCTCGAACATTTTCCTTAAGACAAAAAACATTAAGAATTTAATGATCTTTCAAATGGCGTTAAGATCATGACGATATCTCAACTTGTGGTCGAGATATTGCAAAATGCGCAAAAAGACAACGAAAATGTTCTTAAGACGCTGCAGATTTTGCTCTAAATCCATGGTTTAACCACAAAACTAACCCGC